TATCACTATGAACAACTTCTGACCAGATTACTCGAAGGCCGTCGTCAGTGTGGTGTTTGTTATGCACCTGTTGTTATGTTTCTCGCTTTTTGAAGGGGAGGTTAGCGGCGCGCGAATAGTTGCTGCAGATGCTAAAGGGTCCATTAAGGGCAAGCCCCGGGATAAACTGGTTAAGAGCGCTTTGTAGTGATGACTGAGCTGCGGAACGACCTGAAAGTGGAAAGGAAAGCAAGAGAAATCTTTGGAAACGCTGAAATTAAGGCCTTAACCTTCAATAAGGTCGGATGTGGTACGATGGCGAGACAGGGCGATCAAAGAAGACAAACACGCGAGAGAGCACGATGATCTCTACATCAATCGCGGTGGGTGGGGAGCATTCTGCCACGAAACTGAAGTGATCTATGTAAGCACGGATCTTACGATTTCCCTCGCGGTATCCTTCCTACTAGTCGGTTAATCCCGATGTTTGTCTTTCATGGGAAAATCATAGAAAACCATTGAAAACATCCTAAATCAACCTAGCCTATTTTGCGGCACATAAGAGCAAGATGCGAGATTGTGAGAAACTGAACTTTGAACAGATGAGAGTACGAATGAGCGGGACGCAGAAACAAACCTATCCACATTTCACGTTCAGGCTAACGGGATACTGAGTTCCCAACCTAGATCACAATTCCCTACCAAAATCAGCAGTACTTCGGCGCTATCAAACTGATCTACGTTTCTCGCAAAGGGGACGATCCCACAAAGCAAAGATCCCACAAAGCGTGAAATGCGTCCTTATGGCGGTTTCAAACATATAACGAAACTGGGACACTAGTAAACGGGAGTTGATTTTTCATGTCCCATTATAAGTTAACAAGTGAGCAACTAATGAGCCGCTATTAGAGGTGCTATCAACAATTTATAGGTGCAAAATTGGAGGGAATGAAAATATGCTACGATCCCATTTTCACTTCATTTGCTCAATCATGCTGCTGATCATTTTTGAAACACACCCTTTTCACGTTGCGTTCCATCGATTTCCAGCAAATTTTCCGTTTATCTCTGTCCACATCTATTCTATTTCAGCAATCATAAAAAGTCCTTTACCTCTCACGCTATTCAAAAATTGCGAGAGGTAACAAAAGCCAACTCATGTCATCAGTTTGCACTGGCTGATTTCACACAAGGCGTGGTTTTATTGTTTGGTCCAAAAATCGAAAAAACCTGCTCTGTGACATTCTTTGCCCCGATGACTAAATTCTGTAAAAACCGTAACTACATGTTAAAGGCAGGTGGTAAATCGAACAAATTTCAGGTCCAAGCGATGGGGTGCACCGGCGCCTAAACGAGTGTTTCACAAACAGCAGTACCTTCAACGCCGAGTTCGTTACGCTGGAACCTATGGATCATGCTGCAGCGGCAACAGTTACATCTCACAAGGAAGCCCAAATTCATGGACAACAACTGTCTACAACAGCAACAGCTACTCTGGCACTATGCCATCGTCATCTCACTCCATGGTCTTCTCACAGGGTCTCACGGGAAAAAGCTGCGCTCGCTGTTCCAATTCATATTTCACATACAACTCAGGGTCAAGTCACACCGGTTTCGGTAGTTCTGACGATAAATCTCTGAGTACAAATGCAAAAGAGGAACTTCAAACCTCGAGCAACAGTCCTTCGTCGAACTCATGGAAGTCTTCGTCCAGCTGTGCATCATGTTCGATGGGAACAGGAAGCGGCACTCTTTCCTACGTGCAAAATACCAATCCATCCTTAGCAACTAGTGGCTTTTTTTCCTCGTCGTCGTCATCCAGCAGCTTCTCCTCATCATCATCGAGTTCATCCTCCTCTTCATGGTTCAGTACATACTCGGACTCGCAATCTAATTCAGGTCAAAGCGGCTTTCAAAGTTCAAGTGCTGCTAGTTCTCAGAGTGGCTCGTCAGCTAATGAAGCACAAACCGTTCAAACACAAAACAACAATGGCAACCCACCGCTACTTTCAACGGGGCAGAACACTCCTGAGCTGTATAGCTGCACAACATGCTCCAGTGGAGTGGAATCACCGACCAGTTCAGATGTAAAAGAAGTCATTCCAACGCCAAACAGTGGCCCCAGTTGGGCACAAGCGAGGTCCAAGTCCACCAGCTGCTTAAAATGCTCACAAGGGAACAGTGATACTAACAATACCAGCTCGTCCGCTGGCTTTGAGTCGGAAAAAACTGGAAACAAATTCGAGGCAGCCGATTCGAAAAGCGACATGGCCGATATTAAGAGTAGCTCTTATGCCAGACCAACAATTATTGAGCAAAAAGACGCAGTAGAATCAGAGCTTGAGAAGGAAGTTCCACTCCCTCCAACGGATGAGGAGCTCATTGCAACCAGTTGCACGATGTGTTCGGGTGTTCCCAGTACGGGTTACTACTCCAATGTAGAAGTTCCGACTTCAGCTCCATCACTCAGCTGCTCCATATGTTCACAAAAAGCAACTAGCGCCGACACTTTTGCTCCTTCCGTTGATTACAAATTCGAAGCAACTAGAGCGGTTCCTCAGACAGAGGTTGAGCCTTCTTCAAAAAAATGGGAATACGTCTATGACAAAGTTCAAAGCATTCTCAAGAGCTTTGAGTAAATTAAAATGATTGAGTAAAAGTTGCTGCATCGATCATTGTCACTGTTTCTAATGAATTACACTCTGGAACAGTGAGAAAGATGGGAACTCTAAAAAGTCCAAAATAAAATAGGGCCATCTGTGTTTTCAGAAATGCTTTGCATTAAATGAATTGTTTGTATTCATGTGAACTGTTTAATTAGTTGCAATCGACAACACATATCACAATTGCAATAAAAAACTTGAAAAAAATCCAGCAGTAGCGGAGCCAAGGAGAAACTCTCCTCAAAATTTCTTACTGTTATCTTGTTTCAGTATCACCTATTCGAATGAGCTTTTTTTGCTTACTTCACTATGAGAAGAGTAGCAACAGGGATAAATAAAAAATGTGCCTCCTCAAGCGCTGCGCTCAAATCTTCCTTTTAAGAACTCCCATCAAAGGTATTCATCCACTTTGAAGCTAAATTTATATATTTCCACCTCTCAAATAAAAACTCAATCGCGGGCCGAAACCTGGTAAGCACTGGGTGCAACCGGATCTGAATTTGAGTTCGCAGTCGTTGAGGTAGTACCACCTTGGCAGCTCAAAACGCACACCTAGAGCGCTTAGCACTTGAACAAAGGCACGCACCAATGCCAGCCCTACATGCCAAGTATGTGGGTTTCGGTGTCAGCTGATTTCTAGCCTATGAGCTCATCCCTTTTTCCGATGCGTCGGCTTCTTATCCACCTGTTTCGGTTTTGTGCAGACTTTTCCACCGTGAAGAAAATGAATTTAATCATAGCTTTTGGAAATTTCGTTTGCTTTAACTCACTTATGTTTACCGTACCTCTAATTCAATTTTCCACCGCCAAAACCACATCTAAATGGTCAAGGAGAAGATCAGATCAATTGTTTCCCTAATGTGCCAATTTTAGGAGAAATACTGGCCCAGCAGGCCCCGTAGCTGCGCTAACTTAACATAGTTTTTGCAAGCGTAACGCATTTTATTTAAAATTGCCCTGAAGGTTGCAATCAACAGGTGAATGATGGTTGAACCTCATTTACAGGCAATTATAGTTGCAAATGCTAGAAGCATAATGTGAAGTTACCAAGCTCCGCCTTTGCGTTGTAGCTTGCAAAGCATTTCGATTCTCTCAGTGATAACGGAAGTCTTCAAGATGACAAATTGTAAAAGTAGTAAAAGCAACATTCCAAACCTTGTCTTCACAACAGACTACAAGAAAAATAAAGAAGACTGTCCACGCCTTGGGATCGCTGAACAGGACCAAACTAAATGTTCAATGAGCACGCAGTAACTGAACCATTTAGGTTCCAGAGTACAGTCTCCCTCGAGGAATATGCTGCCGTTCTTCTGCTGCCGCCTACGGCTACATCGATAACTCAGCAATGATATGCGTCTTGCTATGATCGTTTTTAGTAGATGAAGCAATGCTCACGCGCGGGACGAATAACATAAAAACCAGCGCAGAGCGCATGAGAGACTGCGTTAGTGACAGCTTTTAAGTAGGTTCAACAACGAATGGACCCGCGTTGCCAAATTACAAGAGTACATACAAAGATTTAGTGGGGACAACGGCTCCCAGACAATACCTAACCATTTGGGCGCGGCCGCGGCGAACGCGGCCGAGTCGATTGTGCCCGCGAACCGTTGAAAACGCACTCGAGGTGCCCGCGAACTGTGCTGTGCTGAGTTCGCGGGCACCTATCAACTCGGCCGCGTTCGCCGCGGCCGCGCCCAAATGGTTAGGTATTGTCTGGGGCCGCACAACTTACACATATGATAAAGTTGTCGCAAATGACAGCATAAATGCGAATATGTTGCAATATTTGACTAGTTTTACAAAATGTCTACTGATGAAGTAGTCACAATGGAATTGAAAAACTGTCACAAATGTGAATTAGATCTAGGAGTTTGCTATCAGAAAAGTACATTTCAGTTTTCCAAGTTTTCTGTTATCCAGGAATAACTTCTCATTGATCTCTGATAACAACACTAGTCCGTTTTCTGTATTGCTCCGTGAACTTGTGCTTTCACAAAGGCTTGAAGAAGGGTGGTATTAACGCAGCGAGAGTTAACCAGAGTACGGAAGATGATATGGAAGCACTCAAGATTTTTCCGTCATCGGTTCTGTGAAATAATAACTTATCATCCACCCATAAATACGAAAGACTCTATTTTTTGTGGGCATTAGATCATGAGTTCAGGGTTCGGCCGAATACTTGAACAACATCTACTCTAAAAAACAGTTTATGAAACGGAATGTTTGCATCTAGAGGTATCACCTCCATGAAATGGCTTGTAGAAAGAATAATAGGGTGTTCGCTATTGAATAAAGTGTTCAACGCGCACTCGACAATCTCTTCTCCTATGCCTAGGCAGGCAATGCTGGAAATTAGATCAACAGCACTTCACTGGCACTCTATATAGGAGCAATAATCGTATGCTGATAAAAATATTATTCTCTATTCGATTAAGCCACATTAATCCTTTGTTCAATCTCCAAGACATTAGAGACTAAGATAGAGGCCAAACAAGTGTTACAATACCGCCCCTAATTTTTGTTCAATCGACGAAATGTAATACAACTTTCCGTAGCAAACCGTCGTTTCGCTGTAACTTGTGAAGGTAAGGCGCAAATTATATAAAATTTATGCCATCGGATAGCCCTGCTCCTGGTGAATCTAACGATATAGTAATCTCTCAACTTTCCTCAAACCTTCCGCCTTATTTTTTAGAAAATTGACGATTGAGTCTCTGCTTGCCAATGGCAATACCTGCGGACATGACACCATCGCGAACCCTCCAGTTCGACTGGGAGATTCAAAACACGTATTCCAAAACCGCAAATGTGATTATTTTCGAAGAGAGCTTGAATTCATGATCATTTTGATACCAGTGACAGCGGGGTTTCAACAATTTCAACTGAAAATTCAAGTTTTAGAGACCACTTTCTTAGGGATTTGACGATTCTTCGCGACACTAGCATCCAACTCTACGGGGTTGTGACCTGATGATCTCTGTCCGTTCATTTGTACTTTCAAAAGTCCGTTTGCATCAGTCCTGCCCAGAAACGGTCCCTCGATGGATGACCTCCTCTAATTACGTCGACTAACTGCGTGCGAGACGTATCGATCTGGGACGGTAGCAAACCTTCATTAATTCAGACTTAACGTGTCGAGATTAGCTCAGACCAAAGTCAGTTTAGATAACAGGTTCAGAGCGCTTCTCAACACATTAAGTCTTGTTTAACCTACAGTTAGATCATAACCAAAAAAACCATTTTAATTAGTAGTTAGAGAGTTAACTTGTAAACCTAATTCGTAATTAGGCAGAGAAAAGAAATAGTGTGAGGTCGAGGAGGCGCAGACGCCACGTTGACCCACGAGTAAAAAGTACTCCGAAGGACTTTTTACTGGAGGGTCATACGTGTCAGACGTGGTGACTGCGCCTCTTCAATCCCGTGCTCTTTTTTCTTCTCTGACCAGCTCAACCTGTTAGGAATCAAAGAATGCAGCTGCGATCCATAATCTTCAGGTACTTTTGCAACCTTTTTTTTCTTATTTATTCGTTTCCTGATATTTTGTCGTCTGAAATCTAAAGTAGGAAGCTCTTGCTTGATCTGGGCTGGATCGCACTCTCCATTCTTTATTCTTTGCTTAGAATCTCCGATCGTTACTTCTGATTGCGAGTTAAGGGTACTTTGCTACCGTCCCAGATCCTTGATACTGGAGCGCTTAGCTCATGCTCCTGACAAATGAGAGGCACATAATAAAGGAAATCCACTGAATGTTTGGCCTTTCAAATCCAATTTTTTTCATTTCCTTTACCTGTTATTCAAGTATTAATTGAAGAATTTGATTATGTCCGTTGGTAGCCTAAGTCGTAGGTGCATTCTGATTCTTTAGGTGGAATCTGTGTCGGTTGCACAGATGCACTCTTCACCATTTACGACTAAGCTAGCAAAATTAAAACACTTAATAGAAATTGGCCAGAACAACTTTTGAGATTTATTTTCCGCAATTAGACACGTTTACAATGAACCCAACTTTTTTTAAAGAAAACTTCTTGTGCAGCTAAAGACAACATGAGTCCTACGGAGTTTTCTGCTCTCTTAGAACTCCTGGACTTTCACCGCAGGTTCTTGCGCAAAAGATACTGCTCACAAACTAACGCGATACACCGAGTCTTTGTGCCGTTGCACAGAACTACGCTCGAAAATTCCCGGATGCCTCCAAAACTCATCTTTTGTTCGCGGTGATCAGGAATTGAAGAAATCAGCGTGAGTTTCCCTTGCTTTGGGATGTCGAATTCCTTCACATTAATGGATGTATTGAAAGGTATCACATCTGTACCACCACTTAAATACGACCTGCTCACAGATTTGATGAGTGAAGTGAAAGTTAAGTGATGAGGTATAACATGAGCCCTAGCTCTTTATTATCCCACACTTTGCGCAGTATCTTGCCATTCTCGTAACTCTTTCGAGTACCATAACTCCTTTGAAAGACTCTTTTGCGCGAAACTACTAATAAATTAGTCCTACACTGTTTTGCCTTGGAACAACTACTAAACTTTAATTATAATTTTATTTTTATTTATTTACTCAATTTGGATCTGTGGTTGGAATTGACTTCGTTTCATCATTCATGTAGTGGTTCGGATCCTTATCCCATATTTCCCAACCTACATAATTACCAAACGACGGCGAAAGTCTAGGAATCAAAAACGGTGTTGTACGACGACCGGGTCGACCAGGCCTTCCATCACTGGTCAGAGGGTATCAGAATTGTCCGGGAGGATAAAGGCACTGACTTGTACATCGACAAATTCTGCAAATTGTTTAGGTCAAATCGCATTCAAAGGCCATTAAGATGCTGCGTTCAGGGCTACCAAAGAGTATTATCGAATTCTACAATTAATACTTGAATAACAGGTAAAGGAAATGAAAAAAAAATGGATTTGAAAGGCCATACATTTAGTGGATTTCCTTTATTATGTGCCTCTCATTTGTCAGGA